AAAGCACAACCCTGCCTACACTTTACCCCCCAGACACTTTGTCTGGTCCTGGCAGCCTGGAGGTAAAGGGCGAGCGTTCCTCGGCCTGGCTCAGCCTGACCCTTCAGCTCCTACAGGTCTTTGCTCAAATACCGTTTTCACGGAGGCCCACCTGTCCGCCCATGAAGTCCCAGCCCCACTTGGAATCCTGCCTTACCTGTCTGTGATCTGTCACCTGACACACATGTATATTTATTTATTTATTTACTAGCGGCCCAGTGCACGTGCACTGGGGGGCGTGGGAGTCCCTCAGCCCGGCCTGCGCCCTCTCGCAGTCCAGGAGCCCTCACTCCTTATCGCCTGCCTGCTCGCTGCTCCTTACCGCGGGGCTTGCTGCTCCTGAGCAGGCCTCTGGCTGAGCGGTGCTCCCCCTGTGGGAGCCCACTGACCACCAGGGGGCAGCTCCAACGTTGAGCATCTGCCCCCTGGTGGTCAGTGCGCATCATAGCGACTAGTCATGTGCCAGTCCTTCGGCTGTTCAGTCGATTTGCATATCAGGGTTTTATGATGTAGGATTAGCTTACTTATTGTCTCATTTGAATGTCAGCTTCAGGTGTTTTTGTTTGTTTCCTATTGTGTTCAGTGCTGTGTTTCCAGTACCTAAAACAGTGCTTGGCACAGACTTTAACACTGTGCAATAGTAGTAACAACAGCAGCCACCACCTTTCAGGGGCCCTTTCACAAGATATCAGTAACCTATTTCCCCTCAAACAGCATGCAGATGAGTCATCCTCACGGCTCCAGGCATAACCCCACCCCGGGCCTCTGCTCAGGGTCGAGGGCATGAGCTCAGATGTTCTGCTTACATCTCCCTACCCACTCCCTCCTGCAGTGGCCAGGGACAGCGGGTCTCGAGGCTGGGCCAGGGCATGGGTCTGGGCCCGCCTTGTTGCCTGGGGGTCTCGGAGGGCCTTCAGTCTTCCCCCAGCACACCGCCCGCTTCACCAGGAACTAGCTGCATGGCCTGGCCAGCAGCGGCAGCTCTCGGCGCCTCATTGCTCACCCTCCACCCTGAGAAGGGGTGTCTACACTCACCTCCCGGACAGGCGGTAAGGACTGAATGATCACACGGAGCCCAGCACAAGAGCTCAGAAAGTGACCCAGATGCTGGCTCCAGACGAGCCGCCTGGCAAGGCTTTGCTGCTGTGGCTGCGCACAAGCCTGGGCCCAGGGAGAAGCTGAGTGGGGGGGGGGGGGGGGGGGGGGGGGGGTCACCCGTTTATCCACCGGACAGCCTGTTTCTCATCAAACCACAGGGCCCAGATCAGCTGGGCCGCTATCAGTCCCTCCCCCGCCCCATTACAGAATGTGACAGCTGACGGAGACAGGGGTGTCTGCAGGCGGTTTAGCCTCAGGGTCACACTGCCCCGTCCGGTGAGGGAAGAAGGATCAGCTGCAGAGAACAGGGGTCAGGGAGGCGAGTGTGGAAAGGTTACCCCCGTGACGGAGGTGGGGGCGGGCGCTTCACTTTGGGAAACCTCGAGCTGGAAAAAAAGGGGGGTGGGGAGCTGGGAACAGCCATTTTCAAAACAAAGTCACGTGGCCAACACGAGCCTCTAGGCGGCCACCCACTGGCAGCCCCTGGCCCTCCCGGGGGCGCCCCGCGGACTTACCGAAGAGCAGCGGCTTGAGGCTGAGGGTTCGGATGAAGTGGTCCCGGTCGGCCACCAGCTGGACCTTCTGCTCGTGTCCCACCTACGGGAAGGGCACCGCGGGCAGCTCGGGCCCCAGGCCACGCCA